TGTGCGGGTCCCGGGGGGGTCCCGGGGAGGTTTGGGGAGTCCCGGGGGTCCCGGGGTACCTCCATGAGCAGCTTGAGCGCGCAGTCGTCCCCGATGCGCCCCTCGCGCCGCGCGCGCCCGGCCAGCGCCCCGAACCACACGCAGGGCACCCAGAACTTGTTGTAGGGCGAGCGCAGCCCCTCGAGCCGGCGCCGCTCCTCGCGCGTCAGGAACCCTGCGGGACCCCCGGGTGACGTCACCGCTGGGGCGTGACGTCATCGCTGGGGCGTGACGGCACCGCTGGGGTGTGATGTCGCACCGAGCCGTGACATCACACCTGAGCTGTGACATCACCTCGAGCCACGACGTCACACTGAGCTGTGACATCATCACTGAGGTGTGACGTCATCCCTGAGCTGTGACACCATCCCTCAGCCATGATGTCATCCCTGAGTTATGACGTCATCCCCGAGCTGTGACATCACCTCGAGCCATTATGTCATCCCTGAGCTGTGATGTCATCCCTGATCTGTGACATCACCTGGAGCAATGATGCCACACTGAGCTGTGACATCATCCCTGAGCTGTGACATCACACTGAACCATGACGTCATCACTGAGGTGTGACATCATCCCTTAGCCGTGACGTCACCCCCAAGCCATGATGTCACTCCTGAGCTGCGACGTCATCCCTGAGCTGTGACGTCATCACTGAACTGTGACATCATCACTGAGATGTGACATCATCCGTGAGCTGTGACATCACCCCTGACCCGTGATGTCACTCCTGAGCCATGACATCACACCTGAGCAGTGACGTCACCTCACGCTGCCCTGACATCCTGGTGACGTCACTGGTCACACACTGGCCCAGGCCAGGCAGTTGGTGGTCATTCAGCGGTCACTCAGCGGTCACTCACAATGGTCACTCAGTTGTCACTCACAATGGTCACTCACAGTGGTCACTCCCTGGTCACTCAGTGGTCACTCCCTGGTCACTCAGTGGTCACTCAGCGGTCACTCACCGGCCTGTACCAGGTGGTCAGTGGTGGGGAACCTCTTGTACACCGGCGTGCTGACCGCCCTGAGCACCAGCAGCGCGGCCAGGCTGCCGTAGCGCAGCGGCCCTGGCCACTCACAGTGGTCACTCACCAGCCCACACCACTGGTCAGTGGTCACTCAGCGGTCACTCACCGGCCTGTACCAGGTGGTCAGTGGTGGGGAATCTCTTGTACACCGGCGTGCTGACTGCCCGGAGCACCAGCAGCGCGGCCAGGCTGCCTGGCCTGCACCAGAAGGTCAGTGTGCCCATGGTCACTCAGTGGTCACTCCCTGGTCAGTCCCTGGTCACTCAGTGGTCACTCACCGGCCTGTACCAGGTGGTCAGTGGTGGGGAATCTCTTGTACACCGGCGTGCTGACCGCCCGGAGCACCAGCAGCGCGGCCAGGCTGCCGTAGCGCAGCAGCGTCCGGCGCAGCAGCCGCCCCCGCGGGTCCGAGCCGCGCACGCTGCTGGCCACGGCCACCATGAGCCCGTCCGGGGCCGGCACCGTCCGGAACTGCCCCCACCAGCGCTCCAGAACCAGCGCCACGTAGAACCCTGCGGGACGGGGAAACGGGGATGGGGGAGCTGGGGGAAGCTGGGGGGATGGGG